TGAGGGACGGGTGGGGGGGATGAAGGACAGGGGAGGGCTGAGGGACAAAAAACGGGAGTCAAAGAAGTATGATTAACTAAAATCTTGTTCTTCATAGCAAATAGTCACGAGTAAAATCAAGTTCCAGGGATTGACTAAATAAATAAACACATAAACAAACAAACAAATAAATGTGTGAAAAAATGAGACTTTTCCATGATCGTTAGAGAAAATCACCTTTAACATCACCATTTGACATGCAGCTGGTGATGTCCAGTTGAAACACACGTGGGGGGAAAGTTCAACAGCTGGTTGGATTGAAGGGTTCAAAGATACCAGTGGCTTAAGGGGATGAGAATGACAAAAGACCTCATTAGCATCAAAAGCCTTCCTTTGCATTTTACCAAAGGACCCTTGAGCTCACTTGGAGAGAGGGAAAGCACCTGACTTGGTCTCCAGCTCAAGAGCAAATCCCACCGATGTTCAGCTGGAGAAACCTGGCTGGCACTTGTAGATGTAGCAGCTACGGAAGACTCATGGCGAACTGGCATCACACAAAGACGGAGAACGGATGCAGGCCTGGCAGGTATGAGGAGGCCAGAAGGGGCTGAAGGACTCCACCCCAGGCCTCTGAGTTGGCAGCCCACTAAGCTTAGAAGGATGAGGGTAAGTTTCACCACCCACCCCCAACATGTTGGCTACCATTTTTCTCGATTTCAGACAGTTTCATTTCAGCACAATTTGGCCCGATCCTACTTTCTCGGCTCAGAAGGTGGGTGGCCAGAAACAGATGAGAACAACGCTTGAGAGTTTCCTCGACGCACAGTTTTTATTTTTTTGAGTCCCAAATCACTTCCAAATGCAGCCGCTCAGCCAAGCGCCAAGAGATCACGCTGAGTGAGGCAGCCGCACATTCGAGAAGGGAGGCATTGGTGAGACCCCGAGGCAGACTCTGCCAGGGGACTGGGCCAAGAGGCTGTCACTGCCTAGAGGAGGGGGGAGGCTGGATTTCACACCATCTCCGCCCAACAGACACTCTGCCAGCGAAAGGGGGCTGCGTCCTGTCTGGCCTGGCCAAGACTAAGTGGCATGAGGAATAACCAGAGAGCAGATTCCGCTAGCTGCCTTGGGATGCAATACTAGACATCTGCATCTAGGGCGCCCCTTCGAGCTCCAGGCGTTGGAGGATGGTGAAGACTGGAATTCAGCCTGGCTGGAGATGGATTTCTTAACAAACAGCCTGCATGCGCATCTGTGTGGCTTTCAAGGAAGGAAGAGAGACCTGGAGTCTTGAGCGGCTGGAGCTGCCTAAGCCTCTGCGTGGGCTCCTCCCACTTCACTTCCCAGGTGTCTCACTAGAGGACAGCCGATGTTCATCCCTGGAGCCTTGGGCAGGTGGACTTCTGAATGAGTCCCAGGGTACCCGAAGGTAGAAATTATTATACTGCACCTCGACTTTTCCAGAAGGTGGGAGTATGTTCCCAAAGATGGCCTTCCTCTAGACGTAAACAGCACAGCAGCTCTGCGGGGGTGGAGGGGCGTTGGACTGTTGACGTCACACCTTTTATTTTAGCCTACAGGTAGAGACAGTCCAGTGGAGGGAGGAACAGAGTTAGCGTGCCAGTCCCGCTCCTGATACGCCCACGCAGCCCCTGAGCAAGCCATTAACAGCCTGGCACCTTTACCCCCACATCTACAAAAGGCGCTGACAGCGAGGAATTCATGGCTTACGGGGTTTATCGTCATCACAAACCTAGTCTGTAGACAGAGCAGCAGCTTTCCTAAGAGTCAAGCTCAAAGTCTCGAGAATAAATAAATGGAATGTATTTAAAGACTTGAGTGTCTTTCCCATGATGGTGGTAGGAACATATGGCTGCTTCATTCTACTGAACTAAAACTCTGGGGGTTTCAATGTTTCTTTCATTTTCAGTAAATATACATCTCTCTCTTCTCTTCCCCAGAAGCCTGTACCATAAGCCAACTTGTGCTTCTGTTGTCCCATTAAAATGTCCTGCAGGGGCATTATTCACACAGATCCTCAGTGTACATGGAATCATTTGTCTTTTCGGTTGTTGAATGCTGCTGCATTTTGGAAATATTTGGAATCCTTGGGAATGGGTTACTCACCCTGCCTTTTAGGCATCCTGTGTCTCAGGGAACTGGGGAGGATGCTCAAACATTGCTGGTTGGAAGTGAAGTTGAGCAACCTTTGGAAGAGACACTAGACAACATGTCAGAAGGGTTTGAAAATGGGCATCCCTTTCCCCCAGGGATTCTCTTTCAAGAATGCCGTCACCTCATCACCGCCATTTCAAATGCATAAGAAGCCACTTAGGGCACCCTCAGCGATAACCAGATAGCATAGCTCAGAAAACATAGAAGCACCATAAGTGTCGAATTATAGAAAGCTATCTAAACCATGGCACATCCATCCAATAGACATATACGACCACAATTAAAATGATGTCAACATACCAGTATGTGGTGAAAATATTCAGAGCAGCACTTCCTTGGGGATGGGGGGGGGGACTCTGAGCAGCAAGAAGTAGAAGTAATCTGTGAGTTGATAGTAATTGCACCCTGCGAGCAATTTGTATTATATAGATGTACCTGTTAAAAAACCTTTGTACGATCCACTAAAGATTTGTCCATTTCATTGTATGTCAACACCTCTTAGGCAAAAGGTCATCAAGTACCAAGTTCTAGTTAGTTGTATGTGTGCTGATATGGTTACGGGTCAAGTAGACAGATTTCTTCAGCATCCCTGGTGCTCTTGTCTGAAGGTTTGTATCCTCACTCCAAGTTTCCACATTGAAATATAATCTTAATATGATAGAGCCGAGAAGGAGGACATTGGGGAGGGTGATTGTCTGAGAGCTCTGCCCCCACAAATATGAATGAGGACCTGGTTGAGGACACTCCAGAGAAGCAGTTATCCCCCTCCCCAAGAGGGGATATGAGAAGAAGTCACCACCTACAAACCAGAAATTGGGCTTTCTCTGAACATCAAAGAACTGGTACTTCCCAGCCTCTGTGACTGTAAGAAACAAATGTTGGTTAGCTACATGTGACCTGAAGAGACTGGGACCTTCGGTATCTGTTGTAAACAAAATGAACCAATGGGGGACAATGGTGATGAGAAAAGAATAGCTACTTTATAAAACAAATGTGCTCAAAGATTGGTTACAGAACATAGGCTGTAGACATGTAGGCCTTTCCCTGCCTCTAATGCATACTTTTCCCTTTGAAGTTGTCACTGAGAATGTAGAAAACAAGATGACAGAACATTTAGTGATGTTTATGCCATTAAAATGTGTTTGACACCGTTTTTATTAAAATAACCATCTTGCTTATTTTCACACTTTTCACAACGTATATTTATTTAAAGTTAGAAGGTGCTTTTTTAAAAAAATGTTCTATGTGTATGAATGATTTTCCTTCATGTATGTTTGTGCACAGCAGACATACCTGGCTCACCAGAGACACAGGATTGACTGGTCCTGAGCCTCCATGTGACTGGTGGGAACCAAACCCTAGTCTTCTGTTACGAGCAGGAAGTGCTCTTAACCACTGAGCCATCTCTCCAGCCCAGAAAAGTTGGTTCTTTCAATTTCTTATTTTGCCCAAAGTGACTATGGAGACCCATGTTGCTGGAAGGTAAACATATCTTGTGTTGTCTGTCCTGTGATGGCCAGACTAAACTTTCCCTGACAAAGGTTGTGTTTACAGGCTGTGACTACAGCCCATGGTTGCCATTTCTCATGTAGAGTCCCCAGCACCTCTGAGATGTGTTGCTCAGTTGACAATAGTCCCTTCTCTGAAATCTATCTAAAGGCGGCTTAAAGACAGTCATCTGAAATGATGTGGCAACACCCTCCACGCTTGGACTGCTGACACTCCGGGAAGCAGCACATTAAGTTCTAGGTCTTTGTATCTCTGCTTCCTCTGGGAATGTTTCGTACCAAGGAAGGGTGAGAGCAGAGTTACTACAGCACACAGGCTAAGTGAACCTCAGCTTCATAGTTACCTTGGAGGTGAATTCATAGGGCCTAAAAAGAAACTGTATACAAGTCATATTTTTATGGATTCTTAAGAGGACGTTTGAAGTGTTTTCTGGTTTGACACTTAGATGGACACTAAGGATCTCTTTTCTCCTCTTGAATTACTGGAACAAATTCTTGCACCTTCTCATCTTAATCTTAAAAAAATCTTTAAATTTATATACAGTGAAATTCAATTTCCTGGGTATGTAGTTCTATGAGTTCTGACAAATGCATAGCCGTGTAACCACAGCCCTAATCTGAAAAGATTCCTTTTCCCCAAGAAGTCTTCATACACATATCCAAGTCTGGCTGGCGCTGGTCTTTAAATGCTCTCTTTCAATTCATTTTACACCTGGGGAAATACAGGCCACATAAGGGTCTTTTTGCTTTGTGGTAAAGAAGTATTTGACCTATTGTCTTCGTGGAGCATCCTCATGTTGAAGCAGGCCAGATTGCAAAAAAAGCAACCAAATAAAATGAGGGATGGGGGAGTCTGTGAGTAAAAAAAGAAGCACTTTGCGATATGAATTTGTAACAGATGGTACCAGGGAGCCCCAGGATGGCTTTAGTTTAACCAAAGTTTGGGTATTAATGCCGAAGTCCTGGCTTAATGGTGCTCTGAGGCTTGCTGTGCAACCTTGGGTAAAACGCTCCACCTCTCTGTATCTCTTTATTCCACATCCATAAGGGCATTGTAAAGATCAAATGAGAACTTAAACACATGACAGGTAACCAGTGGACTATTACTATCTGCATTATTTCTGCATATCATTAAAACTTATTTTGGTGCCCATGAGCCTGTTGCAAGTGTATGTGCCGGATCCCTTTATGGCCACGTTGCAAACAACACCGTAAGCTTACCTTGAAATCAGCTGCAAGCTTACAGTAATCTGATCTGCTTCAACATAAGGATGCTCAGGAGGCAATAGTCCAGATACTTCTTTTTGGAAGAGACAGGCTCACTGTCAACAGACATTTAACAAGAAGTTGTGCAGTCTCCATCATCCGACAGAGACGCTGGGTTCTTGGCTTAATATGTTTCTCCAGACACATATTAAAATCTGAGATCTCCTATCTCCATCTTGGAGAGAAGCCTTTATTACCTGTATCTGGACTCCATGGTTCTGACTAACTGCCAGCCTGGTTGCCAGGCTCCCAACCCTGACCTCTGACTGAGTGCTCCTCCTGCATCTGGGGGCTCCCTTGGGTGGGTGACCTAGAACTCCTAATGCTTCCTTTCAAAAACATCTCACATCCCTGCCTACATCTTCCTCAAATCCAATGGCTTCTCCAGCTGCCAAGAAAGACATGAATGAGAGGCACATGCACATGTACACTAGACATCTCCCTCTCTTCCCCTTTTTCTGAGATAGAATATCACTATGTGTCCATGACTGGCCTGGGACTTGTTTAGACCAGGCTAGTCTCAAACTCAGAAACATGCCTGCCTCTGTATCATAAGGACATGGATTAAAAGTCTAAGTCACCATGCCTAGCTCCTTTCCCATTTTTTAATAAAGAAAAACAAACTGACTTACCAATAAGGTCATTAGAAGTTCTCCACAATTTAAGGTGATAAATGCCTTCAGATCAAAGGCAATAGTCTAAGAAGAAGTGCTCCAATGTAGTACATAGCTCAAGTTTTTAAGTGTTCTGATTACTACAGATGGGCTGAAATTTCCAGATACACGTTGGCCATCCCATGAGACTGAGACCACAGCAGCAGAACAGCTCTCCTTGTCCTTCTCTTTATTGTCACCACATAACAAACCACTCCACGATTTTGTAGCCTAGGACAATATCCCTTCGATTCTGCCTAAGGATTCTGTGTCAGGGATTCACTTGAGGCAATGGACAAGGGCTTACAACTGCCTCTTCACATCTGAGGCCTCAGCTGGGGGACCTTTGCTGGTACCGACTTCAGCTGCAGGAATTTGGAACCACCTAGAATCATCTTCACTCATAGGTAAAGGGATAACAGAACTTTGGGTTGCTGGCAGGAGTTCCTGCTTCACAAGGCCTCTTTTTATCTGGGCCTCCTCAGAACATGGCAGCCTCGGCATGTCTAAAGTACCTACAAATGGCTCAAGGCAGACATCTCAGTGTAGCAGTTGACAGCTGTGTTGGCCTATCATAACTGAGTCTTGGAAATACTGTGACACCATATTCTACAGTTTAAAGGTGAGTCACAGCCCACCTCATCCCTAGCTCTTCCTAGACCCTATCTCTTCCTAGGATAGAGGTGAGGAATTGGTAGCTATGGTTATACTTATAAAACCACTCTACCTAAATGTCAATTAGTTCAGGCAATACGAAAGTTAGTATAGAGGTTAAACAAAAAGTTAGGGGTTGGAGAGATGGTACAGGACACACACACACACACACACACACCCCACCCAAAATGGAGTATAATTCATCTAAAAAGAAAAATGAAATATTTCACTTGTAGGAAAATATAAGAAAGTGAATAACATTGTACTAAGTAAAACAAGATAGACTCAGACAAACATCTCACATTCCCTTATATGTGGAATCTGAATTTTAAAATCATAGATACGACAGCCTCATCTAGTGCGCACTCCTCCTAAATGGTGTCTTGAGGGTTCGTCTAGCCCTGACTTGTAGTACATTTCATAATATTACTCAGGAAACAGAGCTCTTAATACATAAGGGAAGCTGTTGGGATGTGAACTGTCTCCCCCACAGGATCATCCCTTTAAATACCCAATCCCCAGCAGATTACACTGTTCAAGGAAGTCAGAGAGTCCTTGGATTGTCGGGCGCAGCTAGCAGAGGTTAATCCCTGAGGGTGGTCTTTGAAAGTGTTCCTAACCACTGAGAAATCTCTCCAGCCCAAATTCTGAGACGCGTTCTGAGGCACCCACTGCTTGCTGCCCCCCTCGACTTCCATAGGTTATGTTATCTTGTCTCTACTGCCCTGCAATGATGTGGTCACGCCAGTAGGGGAAACCTGTTTTCCACCACTACCCCCT